TTTTAGAAGTGTTTGCTTCTTTACAGCGAAACAAATCATAAACAAATATTCGTATATAAAAGATGAAGGTTTGAGTCTTTTCTTTCACTGATATTCTTTTAGTCAACATTCTAACATAAGTAAATGCTTCTGTGTTTGTTGGTTTATTTCTTTTAAAGTAGATGTTTTTAACAGTAAAACTTACAGTGCTTTGTGAAAGTATGTGAAAGTATCGGCCCCCCATTGAACTTTTCCACCTATTTCCATTTTTCCGGCCTCAAACATAAAGATATAAAATTAAAATCAAGTGGAATGCAAAATTTTATGGGAGTTGGATCCTTCTACCTCCATCACAAAGTGTTTGTATAGTTTCAAAGTTCGTATTTAGTTCCACATTTAGTTTGGTATTTCATTCAGATGTATATTTTCTAATTGGGTGCACACTTTAGTTAATGTCTGAATGGTTTAACTCGCACTTTGAGGTTCTGCTAATGCAGATCAGCTGGAGGTAGAAGCAGCCAGGAACAAACCACTTTCTCAAGAACTGAGGGGGGATTTTGTTTAAGTTTACTTTAGTTATTTTGTCACCTAAATATTCAGTTATTTGTGCCAAGTTAAAGAGTTCTTTTATTTATGTTTTAGTTTTGTATGGACTTATTTTTTTAATTTATTGCTTCTCTGTTATATTTTGCCTCCCTCATGTGGTAAGTTTAGGTTATTTCACCCCTATTTAAGCCGCCTCTGTTCTTTATCAGTTGGTATGAGTTACTGTTCAGTTGACCTCAATTGAGTTGGGTCCAAATCCATGTAATTTAAGCATTTTTTATTGCTTTTGAGGCTTTGTTAAATATTTTTGACCCTATTAAATGAAAGTTTTTTTCAATTTCTGATCACCTTTTGTCCTAATTTAAGCTTGGTCCCTCACAGGAACGGAAGTTATTAGATCTTTTAAATTTTAACAAATAAAAGAATGAAAAACTGCATGAGTCACCATAAAAACGTTTTTTAATTAAAGTTTTTCAGTTTCCTTTCTTGATATTGTTCCTACAAATTCCCATTTGCCAAAGTTCTTTGCTTGCAACGATAATGAAACAAACTTCACTCCATATGTTAACAGTGATATTGAAATATAGACATCTAAACATTAATGAATTGGAAGTAGAAAAAAAATGGTTATCAAGGAATTTTTTTACTTTAAAAAATCTAGAACCTTCATTTAAAATGTTTTAGATTTGATCTAAATGTATCTATGGATCTGTTAGGTTTATTCAATGATGATTATAAAGTTAATGTGTGTACATATGGAACATTGGAGAAATTAGATGCTTCACTCTGTTTACTGCAAACTGTCATGCAACGGTGGTGGAAAATTGCTGATGTTTGTGCGAGGCTAATCCCAGTTATCAGGAGACCACTCTATTCTGTGATTCAATCAGAGGAGCATTTTGTCCTATGACCTGATCAATTGCGTTGTCAGAAGAACACTCTATTTTGTAACCCACCCCATGTGTTATGATCTGCTAATAAAAAGGCTTCTGCTGAGGAAGCCGGTCAGAGAGCAGATGTAGCTGAACGTAGCTCTCTCCTTCTGCAGAAGCCATTAATCCCTCTTCTGTGTGGACTCAGTTTCTCTTTTATGAACCTAAATTTTTTAACGTAACAGGATCATCATTATGTACCTTAATTAGTTTTAAAAAAAATTACGTTTTTGGAGTTTAAATTCTTTGTGTCTTTAAAACACTGGACAAAACAAAAGGAAAGATAACTCATGCAAAGACTTTTATTTATGAACAGTCTGCAGCACGGGTACAACAGCACAGATTTGTCTTGATTTCTGATCAGTCTTATTTATCATACCAAGTATGGACAAATACTGTGCCTTCAAAAACACCTCCGCCTTCACAAGAATCTAAAAATACCTTGTTCTGTTTTAAATATGTAGCTTAACATTTGTAAAATAAAATATACATTGTATGAAATATAACAGTTGTTTATAGGATAGACTATATTGTACCAAATGCAATTATTATATTCAAATACACCTTCTCTGTGATTTATTACGTAATACATGCGACAAAATAAAGAGGGGAGGGGGGAAAAGATGTGGCACTTACAAAAAAAGCTGTACATATTTTAGTATGAAAATAGAAAATATCAAAGCAAGATGTGCACCAGTTGTCTAGATTATGTTTCAAAGACGCTGCATTACAAAAAAAACCAACAAAAATAACCCCACAAAGATGAACCAGGTGACATTTTACCTGGAGCACAGAGGTGCAGGAATACTGAGCCGGAGACAAAGACCTGACCTTGTTATGAACCTTCCATAGAGCTGCTTCCAAGCCAGTTATTACAGGTTTTACCACACAGTTTAAATACAGCTGGATCACAGAGTCATATGGTTGCACTAGCAAAGTGGATAAAAGTATTTCAGCTTTAATCTTTGCCGATAAAAAAAAAAAAAAAAAAATCCAATGCATAGCATAAAGTTTGGTTTGGCATGTTTGTCAATTTTTTTTTTCTATTGCTAACCAACTCTTCTACCCGCAACTTTAACAATACTGATATGTCAGCATTAACGTATTAAACACGCTCAGATACTTTGACTAGTATTCCAACAGCAATGTTCTGTACAGCATCGTTACTAAGCATCTTTTAGCTTAATACTATTATTGCCTAAACAGTTTCATATATATCTATCTGTTAAAGTGAAATGGAGTCCGGGTGAAACTGCAAACCGGACGGATGACACACAGATGAGAGAAAATCTTCTGCTGAGACAGTGTGTGCAAGGCACACTGCGATCTATGACGCTACATCCACGTATACCAGGAAAGAGGACACGATAAACAGATTCACGATGAAACATCAACACCTCCAGTTATGGTGAGAAGTTTGCATATACCTATCATGAGTTTCAATACTTTTTGGGCTTTTAATTATTCATCTGAAGCAATATTTTAGCATAGGGTGAAGTTGATGCAACCTGCAAGTGGAAATTACTTTGATAGCTCAATGCACCATAGATCCAATGAGCTAAATCGTTAAATGAATCACAACCTGCTATTTTATTGATAAATTCCTGCTCTAATAGACTTGAAATTAATTTTTAATAATTTTTAGAAAAATAAAAAAATAGATCTTGCACAAAAACTAATTTTGTGTATGCACATTCATGCAGATGTAGCGCTAACCAACATTAGCAGATAGCCATGGTTTGTTTCCGCACTTAAGGCCAATTTATGCTTCTGATGCACAGCCTCTGCAACCGTCAAATCTGTCTCTGTGCGTGACCACGCCCCCCGCGCAGAGGTTCTGCAACCGTCGTCAGTAGCGCACCTAAAAGAAATCCTGACTACACGTCGGACGGTCGCAAACCCGCGCAGACCTCAGGCGGAAGTGCGCAGACAAAAAGCAGCTGTGATTGGTCCTTGGTATGTTTGCAGCTGTCTGTGTGGTCGACCTTCTCCATTTGGTGCCGAGGCACGCCATTTTAAAAAAAAACGAGGATGAATAACAACAATGGATAACCACAACAAAAGGTTGATCGAGGATGTTCGGAAGTACAACCACTTGTACAATGCCTCAGACATGGTGTTTTGGAAAACAAACACTCCCGCCGGCGCCGCCAAAGAAGTTCTTGCTAGTTCTCAAATAAGCTTCCCCTTGCGCTTTGGCGGGAAACTGCTGTGCATCCATAGAAATTCAATTCAATTCTAGACCGATGTTGCAGAAGCATACCAGCAAAACTGGTTCACGACCAACCCTTTATGCTACGTTCACACCGGATGCGCTTTGGATAGCAAAAAAAAGAGCTTGCTGCTTCAATTGCATGTGGTGTAAACATAGCATTACAAAACAGGTCAAATGCTACTAAAAGCAGCAACATGTATGGAATACCTGCGGGTGACACCCTGACCGTTTGAGCTGCCACTTTTGGTAGAATACAGGCAGGTGGGGTGATAGCAAGTCGGGCTAATGTTAGCATCCTTCCTGAATCGAATACAATACAGTGGAGTGACCAAAATTAGTAGACTTTTCCGTGTCGCACAAACAAGCCACTTTCATACCAGACTTTCCAGTATGTTTTAAATGTTTTAATTACACAAGTAAATTCTAAGATAATTTCTTAGTATAATCTGCTGAATATGTTCAAATAGTGCAGACAGTATAACCTGTAAAGACTGCAACTTCTAAAGCTTAAAAAAATTGATTTAAAACTATGAACAGTTACAAAAAAGAAAATAAATACATTTTATTTAGTAAAATAATAAAAAACAACAGTTTGAAAAAATACTCACAACAACAACAAAAAATGAATAAAACATAAGATCCTTAAAAACATGTTGGAAAATTTTGTTGATTAGACAAAATCTAAGAAAACAGGTGTTACTCTCAAAACTTTTTTCCAAAATTTCTGGACTGCATTTTCTTTTCAATTTCATTACAAAATGTGTTCCTTACTCGCTATAATAATTGGAACAAAATGCACTCCATAAACTCCATACCACCTGTTAGGCATTGAGCTGTCCGTCATGGAGGCCGTTCTGCAGAAAGTGGAACTAATGCAACACAGAACAGATGGAAAACGGAAAGAGATACCTCCAAATTATTCACAGGTACCTCTAATAAAACCGCAACTAACATGACAATATAGTCAAACACAGCAAGGCTAGTTTTAAAGTGAAAAAAAGGACATTTAATTAACTTTTCAACTCGAACAGAATTTAAGAATGATTCTCAACCATTCCTGACCCAGATGTAGAATATTTCGGCAGAATTATGCCATAATACTTTTTGTAGAGCTGTGTTTAAGGTTTCCAAGCTAAATTTTACCAATTAGTTGATTTATTTGAAGCCTATACAAACATAAGACCCTTGTGTCTGATATAAGTTCTCTTTTATTTCTTTAATATTTGAATATATTTACCATAAAATCATTCCTTATGGAAAAAAGTGGTTTAAATAAATAATTAAAAGCCCAAAATTAAGATAGCATGTAATTCAACTTCTCAGCAGAACAGTAATGAAGCACAATACGTATGGGAGGAGTTTTGGAACAGTATGCGGTTTTAACAAAATACTTTTTTTTTTTTTTTTTAAACACACAGTGTGGCTGCTGATGCTGAGAGCAGGCGAAGGGGAGTGTAATCTCCGAGAACGTGAGGAGATTACCAGGTGTTTGGGAATAACATCAATCCTATAATCTCTCTGCAGTGCAAATCTAACACTTGTACCTAAAGGCAGAGCTTCAAAGGAAATGAGATTAACTCCTTGAAATCGACTTACTACTGGAATTATTTCCCAGACGCTCCGTATATATGACAACTATATTGCTCTGGAGTGAAACTTTTCAAGGACCACAGTGTTTCTCTTTGCAAAACCGAACTCTTTTTAGTACATTCTCTATCAAACAGGTATAGGAGGAAAATAAAAAAAAAGAACAAAAACAAGTTTAGGAGTTTCATTACTGCTCATACACATAAGGATTACACTTTGAAAAACAAATCTAATCTCTCAACATACATAAGAAAATATACATTTCAATTTATTGTGTTAGAATGTTTTTTTTTATCATCTTAATAAAATCATATAACTCTTTTATTTACATTTGGTGTAGGGTAATACTGATTGTAATGCAATACTGTCACCTTGTGTTTTTTTCTTTTTTTTTTCTGTTACATTTCTTTTGCTCACTTGATAAACAGAAGCACTCTTACATTCAGGTTTGGACGCGGAAGCTCCCGAGAAGTGCAGACGGGAATAATGACACACATTCTTCCAAACAGAAAGATGACTTCTGAGACGAGGGTGAATCGGCTCGCTTGAGAACATTAAGTAGTCTGGAGGCGAAGACAACGGGGTGACACGGCTGAGATGACCTAAAGAACCAGCACCCGGTGTAGCTTTTTTATTAGCTGTAAAAAAAAATTCTCTTGCAGCACCAGGACGGTCAGTTCAGGGAGGTGTTGGAATGGGAGGGGCTGAGTTGACTGAGCCATGGGGTGAAATGGAGGTCTTTGTTGGTGGAAAAAGCTGTTAACAGGAGAAAGACAGGATTTCCACAGTGGTGAAGGCAGTGGGCAGAGGTCACACCCTCTCTACTCGACTGGGGTCGTACGAGTCTGATGAGAAAAACCAAGAGAGAAGGAGAAGTGAGAGGCAGAGTTTAACCAAACTGGACCTGAAAGGAAGACTTGTTTTCTTTGCCGCTGGAGTCAGTTTAGCTCTAAGAGTCAATACTAAACTCAACTAAAAAAGATCAGATATGTTTTCATTTCATTACATTAACATGAACATGTTTGTGTTTAATAATAATTGAACTTTATTGATCTCACATTGCAGAAAATACCTCTGCATTTAAAGGAGAATTCCGGTTTTTAACACTTTTAGCCCATTTTCTGTAGTGTCCAGGATGAAATCAAATGATCGACACCAAAATTTTGACAATTGGTCCTGTCTCTGATATTTGGCTCATGCAGAATCCCCCCCTGGCTGCTTCAGAATGGCTTCCATTGTGCATGTCCGATAATGTCCTTAAAACAACCTTAAACGTTCTTTTTTTAAAATATGCTACTCACCGGGTCGTCAGCGCTGTTCAATGACGTTCCAAAAAAAGTTTCGTAAAGAAAAAACGTTCCTGTAGTGTTTTATTTAGCATTCACCACAATACCATTGGATTCGATTAATTGGTTCATTTCTTTTTTTTTTTTTACACCTTACAGGCTAGACAATGTTTCAAATATGAAATAAATCAATGAAAGCTGATAACAGCAATAGCAAATAACAGAAGTAGAAAAGTTGCACTCCACCTATTCCTATGAAAACCTCATTCACTGAAAAATAATAATACCCCCGCGTTAAAAAACCTGAACAAATACTCTTGCAGAGGTATCGATGCATTGGATCGTCGGCCGTTGGATCGATGCATCGATGCAAAACTATTATTATTTACACCCCTAATTAGCACATTGTCACTCTGCTAAAAACCACAGCAAATTGCTTTTTTTCTAACGTATTTACTGGTTTGCCGGAAGTTTCCTAGCTTCCTGGAAACATAGGCTTTTAACCAACAGCAATCTACCCAGAAAATATATATTTTTTAAATTAATCATATTTTAAATTAATTTTTGTCTTACAAATTCCTGACTTCATGCTACGGAGAACGTTGTATTTTAAAGTTCATAATTAAGGCCTATTATTGAGGAAAACTTTTTTGTTTTTGCTTTCCAACATCAGAAAATATCCAGGTTTTGTCTCAAATATAAATAAAACCAATCCTGAAGTTTTTACTTTTTGTCCTTTGTTCGTAGCCATTTTTTTATGATCTACTATGATGCTACTGCTTTGTTTTAGGAACACACTCAGATTTCCAGATTCCCTGATAATATGGGGCTGCTTTTCAGGTAAAGTGGCAGGGCAGAAGGCACATCTACAGGATATTCAGGAATTTTGTCAGCTCCATTATTATTTTATTTTGTTATTTTAGGAGCAAAAAGCAAAGTTTACTTTAGAAACAGCAGCTAAACTGAAGTACATTGCCAGCCAACTTTAACAATCACAATAAACCCAATAAGCAACATATTTTAAATGTGTAACATTATGCATAAGTATCATTAAAAAACAGAACATTTATATAATGGGGATACATTAGGGAAAAAGATAATATTTTAATGATTTTACACTCACCTGAGCCAGAGAGCATTTCTTCATCCTCCATATCAGAGGTGCCACAGGTCCCTGCACTGAAGCTTAGAGGCAGAGTTATTTCTCTCTTGGGAACGCTGCGGGGTTTGGGGAGCAGAGGAGGTTTCTGGAGCTTGGTGCGCTGCTTTGGTATCGGTAACTTTCCTCCCTCTGCATGTTGAGTGGTCTCAGGTCTACAGACCAATGCTGGGTTATGTTCCTCTTTCACATTCCTCAAGGTCTTTTCATTGTCCTCCACAATTCTTAATTCCATTATTCTCTCCTCAACTCCGAGTTTAAAATGCTTCTCTTCACTCGGCATACTGCTTGCTGTTTGTCCAGTTTCACCGCTCACCTCACAGACCCGTACCTCCTCCTCCTGTATTAGCTCCTCCCTAGACATCTCATCAGTTACTTCTTGAGGTTCTTCAAGATTTCCCAAGTTGACATGTTCGTCCAGGTTATCCTCTTCCTGAGTTCTATTTCTGTTCTCTTCCAGCTCCCCCTCCTCCTTACATCCTCGCTGAACAACATTCTCAGTCTTCTTACAAACCTCCAAAGTCAGGTCTTCTCTTTCTTTAGTTTCAGGTTCCTCTACAGAATCGGGACTTTTCAGGCTAAGGCGTCTTATTCTAGACACCGAGTCAAGCTCTTTGAAACGTGCCATTCTGTCTGTAGTGGAGCCAGTTGAAGCTGCAGCAGAAGAAGCTGCAGAACAATTCAGCTTATCCTGCAGAGATTCGATAAGTTTGCCCGTTCCGCCTCTGCCTTTGTTCTCCCCACTGCATATGCTGAGTGATAACGTCTCGTCTGGGGTGACGGGAAGGGACAGGCGAAGCTTACTTGGTGGGAACTCTGGAATCTCTAGAACTGATGGAATTTCTGGATCCTGATTCTCGAGGCCATCACTATGATCCCTGCTGTGCTTCAGTCTGTTCTCATCCCCTTGTGCCACACCTAACCCTACCTCTTCAATCTCTTGCAAATCTGTATCTTTGACTGTCAAGGAATCCTCATTGACTTGCTCAAACTCTCTTTTCACATACTGTGTTTCTTCATTTAGACTTTGCTGGTTCTCAGTCATAATAGTGTCTATGTCAGGCTCATCATTGTCTGCCACACATAATGCCTCTACTGGAACTGAAATACCCAAGATCCGTGCAGCCCTCTCCTCTATTGACTCATTTTCCGGGATACCTTTAGCACATTTGACTTCGAATAGGTTGCTGAGGTCCTCTGCAGGCAAAGTGTTGGCCTTTTCCTGAATAAGTAGGCTCTCTAAGTGCTTATCTGCTATTGTTGAGTCGTTATTGTAGGTAAGAGGTTCAGTGAGCGCATATCTCTCATCCCCATAATCATCTACAAGCACATACGAGACCTCCATTGTCTGTCTTGTAATATGTAGTGAACTGCCTTTTTTAGGTGATATGCAATGTTCCCTCTCTTTTCCATAAACCTTAGCCTCACCCTGCAACAGAGAGAGATCTGATTTCGAGTGTCCTTTTGACTTATGATCAAGTTCTTCTTTTGAATTGTGCTCAAAACTGCTACTGGTTTTTATGAGTGCTTTACTATGACCTTTATGACTGAGTGGGGATGGGACAGAGAGTGAGCGCTGCATAGGCTCTCCGGGACCACCAGGTGTTTCTGTGTAGACAGTTAGCCCAACGTCCCTCAACAATGACTCTTGAGGCACTGGGATGTCCTGCCTATAGAGGTGGTTTGGCTCATAATTTGAGAGAACAAAGGACAAATGACAGTTGTTGCTGTGGTCTGGGTTGAGAAGCGGGGACTGTTTACCTGTTACTGGCATGTTTTTACCCTGTGGCTTTAATAAAGTTCTACTAATTTCCATGGATTCCAGATCAGCACCAGAGGCAAAGGACTTTGATCTCTGCTTTATGTGTTTGGGCTTTTCTATGTGCATTGGGGGAAGACTAATTGCTTCCCGACCAGGTTCTGGACCATCAGGGAAATCTGCTCCTGTTTTAATCCAGGCTAGCTTTTCGTCAACACTGCCAAAGTCCTTTTTAAATTTACTCACATTTGGTCTCTTGCTTATTGTGTCTTCCATCTCTTTATTAATTGTCTCCAATTCACCAATAGCATCACAGGGTCGTCGGTTTACAGGTTTTAAGAGAAACTGCCCAAAAACCAATTGTTCTTCACTTTCTTGTGGACTGGTCTTCTTCGGAGAAGATAATTGATGTTCTCCCTTATTTTGTGTCTTGGTAGGGGAGGATATGTCCGGTTGTGTGTGCTGAAGGGATGGCGTTTTTGATGGGCTTAGGCTGAGACGTGAAAAGGCGCTATTACTGGATGGATGAAGGTTTTTTTGACCCGTCATTGGGTAACCATAAGAGGAGGCACTATCAGTCCCATTATCAATATCCATGGTATCTGAGACTGACTGGAGAGTCTCCTGTCCCCTGGTAGGGCTTTGGTTTTCTTGACTTTTAAAATCTGTCACAGGTGAGCCTGTTTGAGTTTCCTGATTACGGTATTGGTTTCCAGGCCAAGACCCACCATAGCCCGCCTCTTTGTCTTCATTTGCTTGAAGTACCCAAGCATCTATGACTTCCTTTCTGAGAGGTGCTCTCTTGTAATTCCTCATTGAGGATGTGCTGGTGGTGTGATAGCGAGAGTAGCATGATTTGATAGGTATCTCATTTACAGACTTGCTACGGATGTTGGGGCTTTCTCTGAGACCTACAGCAAAAGTGTCTGTTTTCGTGACGGTCAGGTTTGGCATTGCCTCATTGTTGTTCTGATCAGCTGCTAAGCCTTTGTTAATGTTTGTTGGTGTGTGAACCGGGACACTCACAAGGCAAAAGATGGTTTCACTCACTCTCCTCTTGGTGTTCCTGTGGATTTCTTGGCCTGACTCTGGTAAAATAGTCTTTACTTGCGTGATGGTTTCAGCAAATACCTGGTCTGAACTAGACCCCTGACGAGAAAAGGTCCTTGTTAAGGGGGGCTGAAACGCTGAGGAAGGGGATAAAGGTGATGGTAGAGTTTCAAGATGTCTATTGTTGCAGTTTTGGTCGGGTGCTCGGAAGTTACTTATAGTTTCTTTGTGCAAATCACTTCGCCACCTTTTATTTTCATTTTCCAAGTTGCTAGAAGACGTCTGGTTGTTTTCATCTGCCAGTTTGGCTGAAATAAAAGGCCCCAGTGGCGGGGGCAAGAAGGCACTGTCGTCGGGGGCAGGCTCCGACACGGTAACACTGGGAAGCTCATTACGAATGTGGCGGATTTTGTCAGCGTCCGTCAAGGAGTTACCACCCAAAGCTGACGAAATGTGACGGATGCGAGGATCATCAAATGAGATGTACTGAACTCCCCCTCCTGAACGCTCCTGGGTTGAATATACAGGGTATAGCTGCTTCTGGGTGGATGTACTTCTCTCTCTATGGGGATTGGGCCAGGAACAAGCAGGATGCCTGATGAACCAATGAGTTCCATCAGGAGCCACTTGTATCTGAGGATACATATCCCCTCTGTACCTAAAGGTCAAAGAAAAGAAGGTTACACAAAGACCAAAGTAACATAAAAACTGTCTTTCTTTTCTCAAATACCTTATTTGGTCAACAGTCGAACAGTGAGGAACAGTGCTTTCTTTTTATAAAACAAACTCATACATATCTCGTTACTACTGGCATTGTTGTCATCTAAAAGATTTGCTAAAGCAGGTTCATATCACAGATGATTTTGATCACAACAGTTATTGTAATTCTTGTGAATTAAACAAATAGTAAAGGATGTTTGACACCATCTTTAACTTTGAGCTTTGTTTTGAATCAGTTAAATGACTTATGTTTCAGCTGTGGGGTTATGTAACACTAAATGACAGTCGGTAAAACCGCTTAATAAGAAAAGCAAACAGAGCTGGTCCAACATTTTAAACAAAGTGGGGGTGGGTAAGGCGGCAGCATGGTTTGCTACGGTAGTAGCCATTCAAAATTTCCCCACTTTCCTTGATGGGCCCTGGGTTGGTCCTTGGCTGGTCCTCTACAATTCCTTTTTAAACATCAATCTTTGTACTAAAATATTCTTTCTGTCATGATTTGTGGACATAAAGATCTAAAGAGAAGCGTCATCTCTTGGTCAGACCCTGTAATTCAGCGAAAGGGTGGAGTCAGAGTTAAAAAAATGCACTTCCTTTAGAAGGCCAGTGGCTGGAAGCTGGAGGGGAGTTGCAGGGAAGTTTGCTGCCATTTGGCTGGTGATCCCAGACTAACAATTACCAGGATTTAAATTTCAAAGGAACTCAGGAACAGCCATTAGATATATCTACAACTCTATTTCTTAGGCTTGTTCTAAGTTCTGTTGAAGAGACAGTGTATTCCCCAATGCATTCTGGTATTTCTTCTTCTCATTCCTAAAATTTTTATAGAGGGTATCAGTGGTGTCAAAAGTACACACATTTGTCACGTAAGTAGAAGTATAGATACTGCATTTTAAAAACACTCTGGTAAAAGTTGAAGTATCAAATCAACCTATTTACTCAAGTAAAAGTGAAAAAGCATGTGCTAAAAACTACTGAAAGTATAAAAGTATAAAGTAACCTTTAAAAAAACAGCCAGATGCCACTATATGAATTGAAAGCTTATTTTTTCGACTTTTACCAAAGATTCTCTGAGATAGGGCCAAGGATGAGGGAGGTCTTTTTGGCCTCGTCTCCATCTCCCGATACGCTCTCGCCTGTGTCCGACCTTTCAGAAATTTCGACATCTTTTTCTGAATCCAAAATTGTAGCAATGGCATAGACAATTCACGTTTACAGTTTGAAGAACACCTGCTTGCTTCTGATGATTTCCTTTAGCTAACCAATGAGTGTTTGCGTTATATATCTCATCCAATTACGCTAGTTTTCACTAGATGTGGATGGAGCCAATGATCTCTATTGGATGGCGCACATGAGGTGAAATAAATATTTATAAACATTAAACCGAAGAAAAGAGTAACGTGTAATGTTTGTTTTAAAAATGTAAGGAATAGAAAGTACAGATACTTGTGTGAAAATATAATGAGTAGAAGTCAGAAGTAGGAAGAAAAATAAGTAATGGTGTAAAGTAAACCTAAAAAGTATTTGTACTTTGTTACTTGACCCCTTCTGGAGGGTATTTACTGTTAGCTATTTTTTGTTTAACATCCATCAATTGTTGTTGCTACTGGACAATCAAATATTTGAACAAAGGTGTGAGCTTTTCCACTGGGACCACATTGATGGATCAAAGGCTACGTTCACACTGCAGGCCTTAATGCTCAATTCCGATTTTTTTGTGAAATCGGATTTTTTTGCGTGTCCGTT